TTTTAAAAAAGGAAAAAGAAAGAGTTGAAATTAATTTTAATGATCTCTTGTGTTTAATCCAGTTCATCCAAATATGATCATGTCAACATGTAATCAATATGAAAAATTATTTATGAGATATTTCAGATGGAGTCTTCAGCACCTGGTGTGTACTTGACATTCATAGCACGCCTCCATTCAGCCTTGACCCTTGCTGTGCTCGCCAGCCACATGTGCCCGCCGTACCCCAGGGTGCAGGGTCGGGGTTTACACCATGGGGTTTGCACGCTCCGGGCTCAAGTGCTGTCCTGGTATTTGTTCATGGCATTGTCTAAGTTACAAACCGCTCTTCCTCACCTCCTTCATCTTTGGCATGTGTGATGATAATGACCTTTAACTCACAGGTTGCTGTGGGCTTTAAATGAAGTAATTCACGTAAATCCCCCAGCAGAGTGTCTGCACATAGTAGGTCTGGGCTTGTTCGCTAGTCACTGGCCGTTCCCGTAAAGTAACGACAGCTCATATACAGGATGGTGTAATCCAAGTCAGGCTTGCCTCACCCTCTGAATTCATTGAAAGCCCATCACAATGCTTCGAGGTGGAAATTATTAGCATCTGTATTTTTTAAAATGTTTTTATTTATTTCTGAGAGAGAGAGAAAGACAGCGTGAGCAGGGGAGGGTCAGAGAGAAAGGGACACACAGAATCTGAAGCAGGCTCCAGGCTCTGAGCTGTCAGCACAGAGCCCGACGAGGGGCTCGAACTCACGAACCGTGAGATCATGACCTGAGCCCAAGTCGGACGTTTAACCCACTGAGCCACCCAGGCGCCCCAATTAGCATCTGTATTTTACAGACACAGAAACTGAAGGTGAGAGCGGGGCTCGCTCCTATTGCCCCAGGATGAGCTCTTCCCACGGCTGATGCGGGGCTTTGTGATCTGTCCCTCCCCACCTGGGTGACAAGGGCAGCAGGGTGACAGTGAGCCTATATGCACGCCGGACCCAGCTGACCTGGGCTCAAATCCTGTTTCTTCCACTTGCCATCTCTGTGATGCCAGGCAGGTTACATCCCCACTCTGAGCCTCAAATTTCATCATCTGCGAAATGGGGGTGACCTACTGCAGAAAGACCTTGCAAAGATTTATTGAGTTAATATAGGAAGAGTGTTTGGCACAGAGTAAGGAGCGTGTAAGTGTGGGCACTTTTATTATTTTTATTGATGGCGTTTTTGGTTTTTTTTAATCACTGCCTGTCCCCTCTCTAAGGAAGACTGTGACTAACAGTTCTGTCCCCTGGTGGACCCCACTCTCTCCTTCCGTACTGCGGGTTTTTGCCCAGCCTGTTTCTTATCTGCGTCATGTGCCTTCCTTCCCTCATTCCTTTCTGGTTTTGCTGCCACCTTGATTTAGAAAATCTGGATGTGGTCCCCTCCCGGGGCACCTGCTGCGCCCCATTCCTACCTCCCCACGTGGCTCTGGAATGGCTGCTCGTGTGTCCTGGGGGCAAAGCCTTCATCCGGACAGGACCGTGGCTGTCATGTCCATCTCTACCCCAGGCCTGGCTCAGGGAGACTGTTCAGGAACAAGTGTGACCTGACCAGGGATCTTCCAGATCCCAGGAAACGAGGCGGTGGCCGTCTTTCCGTGTTTGGTTCAGCCCAGCTCTTGGTTTGTGGCACAACTCCATCATTTTGTCACTGCATAACAGGATGAGACACTTTCACCTCTTTATTCTTTTCCCTGTACTCGATTAAGGCATAATTTACATACAGTAAAATCCACAAATCTTAAATTGGCTCCATTAATTTTGCCAAATGCAACACTCTTGTATCATCCTGATCGGTTTAGGTAAAATCCTTCCCAAAGCTCCTCTGCCCTGTGCCCCTTACTACTCAGTACTTTTCCTCCAGAGTTGAGCAATCTTCTGATTCCTAGTACCATTGGGAAACTGCCTGCCCTTGAACTTCAGGTGCATGAACTCTTACCATACACGCTCTATCATTTCCGTGTGATTAGCCCATGCTGTTGCATGATAGTAGTTCATTCCTTTTTATTGCTGGGTAGTATTTTGCTACTAATCCTCTCCCCCTCCCCCTGCCACACACACACAACTCTCTTCGTGGACAGTTGGGCCATTTCCTGTGCAAGTCTTTTTGTTTCCATTTCTTCTGGATAAATACTTCCGAGTAGAACTGGTCCTATGATAAGACTATGTATTACGTTATTAGAAACTGACCAGCGGATGTCCAGAGTGGTTGTACTTGTACTTTGTCTCCAAGACGTGCTTTCTCTGCCCAAGCTGAGGATGACACTGTGTCCCTCTGTCTTGGAGGCTTGGTGAGATGGAAGCCAGGAACCTGCAAGCCAAGTCTTAACCACAGTCATTATGATTCGCATTTGCTCTCCTGGGGGGTACCTTGCACCATTGGTTGGCGAGTCCCACTGGTCTGCATGTTGTGGGCCCTGAATGTCAGCACTAAACAGGAGACGGCTCACCTTGGGGGTGTCCTTCCTCACAGACACCTCAGTGGGATTTCATTAAGTCCCTCTCTGTAAGGCGATTCAAACAACCGTGGTTATTTGCACATCCTCTGAAGCAGAGAAGGCAGAAGACAAAGGGCTCCTGCAAGTCACCCCTGCGACCACCTTGGAGAGGGACCTCTGGGTGTGATCTCATGGCTGGGCGTAAACCTCCTTCCTCCCTGGTTTATCTGGGCCAGGAAGGGACGTTCTCAACAGAATTCACAGCCTGTTCCCTGGGTCTTGCAGAGACGACATTCTTTAGGTTGCTGTAATTAAGACCCTGTCACAGCCTCAGCTAGAAACAAGTTTCCTGGGGATTTTGATTCACTGGTCAAAATGGCTCTGGCTTGAAACTCTGTATATAAAACCCAAGCCCCGCAGCCTATGATTTTGAAGGTGTGTCTCTGTGGGTTTCTCCTGTTTGCAGAACTTTCCGTCTGTATCTTTTTATATAGATTTCAAAGGGCCCGGTGGTTCAGTCAGATGGGCACTGGCTCACTTGTGACTCTGCCACAGACTGGCTGGGTGACCTCTGACAAGTCAGTGCCTTCCTCCGAGCCTCAGTTTCTCCTAAATTTCAGCTTCTGAAAAGCAGAATGATTGCTAATTCTATGGCCAAGACCTCAAGTGTCCTCCCTTCATCAGGTGGCCATGCTCTCGTCTCCTTCCCTAACTCGGAATAGGACTCGTGGTCACCTGGAATAAAAACTTTATTTTTCCATCACTCCCTGTTGCTCAGGGCAATCGTGGCACTAATTCTGGACAGGGAGATATATAAACAAACATCACACGCAACTGCCTGGGAAGACCCTAAAAGGGATAAGTGAACCTTTTTTGGTCCCTTTCTCCTGCTGGCTGACTGGAATGCAGTTGTGATGCAGGAGCTGAAGCAGCCATTTTGGACTATGAGGAGAAAGCCACATGCTGAGGACAACAGAACCTTGAGAAAGAAGGAACTCTAGTCGTTGACATCTGTCTTGGACTAGCCGTTTCTGAACTCATTTAACCATGAGAGAAAAATAAGCTTTCTGGGGCACCTGCGTGGCTCAGTCAATTAAGCGTCTGACTCTTGATCTCAGCTCAGGTCTTGATCCCATGATCATGAGAGCCCCATATGGGGCTCCAGTCTGGGCATGAAGCCTACTTATAAATAAGCAAGTAAGTAAGTAAGTAAGTAAATACATAAATAAATAAGCTTTCTACCTTAAGCCATGATTATTTTATTTCTTATCCTTGTAACCTCTCTGAAGCCTAATTGCTACCTGGTTTTGGGAGGGTTACATGAACTAATTCCTGTAAAAATGTTAGCACGGTGCCTGCCCCATAGAAATCACTCAATATGATATAATGTTTGTATTATTTTCTGTTTTAAGTTTGTTTATTCATTTCAAGAGAGAGAGAAAGCATGCTCCACACTGTTAATGCAGAGCCCAGTGCGGGGCTCGAACTCACGAACTGTGAGGTCCTGACCTGAGCCAAAATTGGACACTTAACCAAGCCACCCAGGTACCCCAATGTTTCTATTACTTTAAAGGCAAGAACGAAAGGGAAGGTGAGTTCTGGTTGGACAATCGGGGGTGTCATTTCTGATTTGACTGAGGTGAAAGAAAGAGATTCTAAATAGAGCCCCTTGAGCTGGTGTGTGTGTGTGTGTGTGTGTGTGTCCTCAAGAAATATTGCCAGGATCTCCTACGTGTGTGTGGGGTCTGCTTATTCCCAGGGCTTTGGTCTGAGTAAAGCTGGCTGCCATCCTCAGACAACTCCTATCCTGTCTGCTTCTAGAAACTCATCTCTTAATTTCTAATCACCCGGTCCAGGGCCCCAGCCTGAAAGCCGTGGGCTGTGCCATAATTCCTCAGTTTTTCCTCAGCACACGGAGTGCTGCAGTGATGAAATTGGCCCAGATGATCCTTTATTGCCTTTTTTATCCAGGGATGAAGGCTCCCCAGGCACAGCTCTGGAGGAGGGTGGGGAAGGACAAGGGACCAGCCGCCTCAACTCTGATTCCTTAAAAGTAGAAATCTGAAAACAAGAGCCCTCCAGGATCAGGCACAGTCGCGCTTTGTCCCCGCTTTCCTGACAGCGGAGGCGGGCGCTTGGCCCCCAGCCACAATAATAAGATTATTATGGTCGAACCCCTGCTTTCTGCTGAGCTTGGTGCTAAACCCCTTTTGCGCACGCTCTCATTGAATCTTCATGCCGTGGCTGGCACCCTGCCCATTTTGCAGGTCTGGAAGCAGAGATTTAGTGGTCAAAGAGCATACCCAGCATCACATGCTCGTCTGGAGTTAGGCTCCAAGGCTCGAGCTAAACCAAGATGCCACCTTCCTAAAGTTGCCTTTTCACCCTCTGCCCTGAACTCTGCTCCCATTAGGCGCTGATGATGGTCGGAGTCCCCTGCAGTCGTTACCCACGGAGACAGGAATCTCAAACAGGGCTGGCCTCACAATCCCCTTGCTCATTCACGTAACATTTCCTTCCAAACAGGAAGTGCCTTATCGTTCCTTCTTGATAATAAGAACCATTTATGCTCTTCTAAGACATGCAGATGATACATAAAGGCGTAGAGAAACGCGTGTACTTCCCGTCTAAAGAACCATGTGTGTGAATGTGTACTGAGCCCTCCTGTGGGTCAGCCCGGTTGCGGGTGCTGTAGACAGGGTGCACAGCGGAGACAGACTCATCCCTGCTCCCAGGAACTCCCTGCTAGCGCGTGGACACAGACCCTTCCAGCTGGTTTTCCAGGTAAGATCACGTGACACGCACATTTTTCAAAAAGCATGGGGCCGTGCTATGGAATTGTCACAATTTGTCTCTTACTATCACCTGATGATGTCTTTCCATTCCCTAGAAGGAAAACGGACCCTACAGAGTGTGGATTCACCAGGGCCATCTGAAAGCAAAAGGCTTTGGGATGGAGGTCCCAGGTGAGAAATGGATTCTTCAGGTAAGTACCCGTCCCCCAACTATGCCACAGGTTGTAACCCTCTCTCTTCCACCATCTCCATCTGTAAATCAGACAACACTGCCCTCCCGTATTCTGTCAAAGAGTAAATGAGATAACACACCCAGAGCACCGTCCTGATACTCAGTAGGTGTTTCAAAAATGCTGGGCTCCTTCTGCTAGGTTTTATTTTGCTCACGAGCCTAGTAGGGCGATTTTGTTTTGAGTTTTATGTTTCTTGGCCTCTGACACGTTCACATTATTGTCTGCATTTGCCATGTGCCATTCATTCATTCATTCATTCATTCATTCATTCATATCCGTTTACCCTCCTGCCCCACTCTTATCCACCCCTCCCATACACACCCCACAGGCAGCCAGTGGGGTTTGATGCCCTTTTATTTGTATTTGTCCCTGGAAAACATGTTTTGTGGGCATGTGTTTTTTATGTACCTAACTGGTACTGTGCTGTGGATTGCACCCTGTTTATAGTTTCCTTCATGGCGCTGGGATTCTAACATCCACCCATGCCATCATGCCCGCATCCAGGACTGCCAGACGGTGCTCCCTGGTGTGCATCCACCATAGTTTACTCATCTGTTTATGTAGGGGCAGACACTTACAGGACTCAGTGTGCTGCCACCGTAGATGGCGTGGTGGTGACCAGTGTCTCGTGTACCCCCCACGCCTGTCCTGTGGGCTTGAGCGGAATTACTCTGTGGTGGATTGATTACCCTCAGCTGCCCTCACAATCAGTACTTGCATAGGATGCAAGTACCTTCTGATTGACCCCACCTGGGCCCCCCTGCATCAGAACCCCTCCCATCCTCTGCTCAGGATCATTTTTGGAAAGCCAAATGTAAGTGTAACTTTGTAAAGGTCTTCATAGCTCTTTGGGGTCCTCTCCAACTTCAGAGCTACAGGGGCTGCTCAGAGCTTCGTTGTCCTCACTTGTACCATGGGTAGGGGTGATTAGATCATCTGGAAAAATTGACAGAGCAGAAAGAGTCAGAGACCGTGGGTTTGAGTCCTAGCCCTGGCACTCACTAGCTATGTGCTCTTGGGCAAGTGGCTTCACCTGTCTGGGCCTCTGCTTCCCCATCTGTAGCACAGGTCCCTAAAAGTACCCATCTCCTAGGGAATTGTAAGAGATAATGAGATAATGCATGAAAACCTCTTAGCACCTTGCCTGGCTTTTCCCCACCAGCCACTCTTACTGATGTTGATGTGAAGATTGACGGTGGTTAAAACAGCAGCAATAACGAAAGGGCATAACTCCAGTTTCTGATCATCCCTGAGCCTATGATCATTGCAGTAACACGACTGATGGCTTGACCAACTGCTTTTCATTTCTTCCCCTGCATTTCCCCATACCACCTGGAGGGGGCAGCAATGAGCACAAGCCTGTGATCTGAGCAATGAACATTCGGAAGATTCAGAAAAAAATCTTCTGCTGAACCTCTTTCTACGGGTTTCAAGCCATGAAACCTGCCATCGGATTTCGTTCCTGTGCTCACCCCTACCCTGGCCCCTGCCAACCTTTTTTAAAAGGCTGATAAGTCAAACACATTCTCTTCAGCAAGTGCCAGTCTTCTATGTAAACTGCTAGGGTTCCCTGGCCTCCCATTTAAATTTTAATGCAGGTGTTCAGTTTGCATGGTTCGCTGTGCATGTGGACCCTACTCTCATGGGACAATATATCTCACTTTTATGGAGTAGATGTATGCCAGGCTACAGACTGGCTTTTCTCTAAATCATTCGCTCACACTGGATCCCAGTTTCTAGTACATACCAGTATTTTTAAAAAGATTTTATTTTTAAGCAATCTCTACACCCAAAGTTGAGCTCAACCTCACAACCCTGAGATCAAGAGTTGCACGCTCTACCGACTGAGCCAGCCAGGCATCCCAGTATATACCTGTATTGATATGGGCAACAAATGTTTATTGAGCACCTAGTGTGGTCCTGCCGCTGTGTTCTCCATATGGGAACTTTCAGTGCATGGGAGAAGGCAGATACTGAACAACGAATTACACAGATAATAAGTTAAAATGTCACAAATGTATTACATCACATTACACTATGCTGTGCTCTATTATGCAAACATACACAAATACAGGCACACAGAGAAGTATGGGAAGAGAGAGCAAAATGTGACTGTTGATTTTCTTTGGATGATGGGTATATTGGACAGGATTCTTACAGTTGCTGGAATCTGAAACTCAATTGAAACTCATTTAAGTAGGAAAAGGGATTTGTTGGCTCATGTATTAAGCTGAATGATACGAAATTGTCTTTGGGGGGAGGAGGGTCAAAAATTGCCAAATATTGGAATGGCCCAATTTAATAATTGAAAACTCTATTAAAACACTGGCTTCAGGTGTAGTAGGATCCAGGTGCTCAGACAATGTCAGAAATCTCTCTCTCTATAGGTCCCAACTCTCCTTTCTTCTGTGGAGTTGGCTTCACCCTCAGGCAAACTCTTCACACACCAGAGGCAAGACTGGCCACTCCCTGCTCCCAACCTCTTTGCAACTTAGGACAAGGAAAAGTGGGGAGGTGGGGGGAGGCTTCTTTCCCAATGATTCCAGGGAAAGTTCTGGGCAGAGCTCTAATTGGCTGGGATTGCTTGTGCTTGCTTCCATGAGCTAATCATGGTGGCCAGGGCTGGCATGCTCTGATTGGCCATTTCTGGGTCACATGCTCCTTTCCTCACCACCCCCCCATCCCCCACCAGCCTGGGGATGGCGTCAACCCCTAATTAGCTGGGCGGAGAGTGAGGTATGTATGTATAGTTTTAAATTTGAGCACCACTGCTAGATGGAATGGCTGCCTCGGAAAGATTTAGAGCAATTTTTTCTTTATTCCGGTTTTTTTTTTTTTTTGCCTCTCTACATTTCCTAAATTTCTACAATGAACGTGAATTACTTGCAGAAAAACATTTTCGAGTTATTAGAAAGAAACCCAAAGGTATTGAAAATGGAATTTGGACATGAATGTGGCCTGGCTTTCTTCCAGGGCAATAATGGCTTTCTGTGTTATCCCTCCAGGTACGATTTGCATTTTAACCAGAGTCAAAACACCGTGACTCCAAGGAGAGTGTAATGAAGGAATTTAGGGCACAGAGCGCGCCCACGATGCCCTGGAGCCCATTGTCTGCCTTTCTGGGGCCATATTGCCATGAAATCTTGTTGACCTTGAAAAGCTTCCATGAGGATTAAATCAACAACCTCAGAAGTGGTGTTCAGCTCTGAAACTCAGTTTCCTCACTTGCCAGGTGAGGATAATAACAGCTCCTTCTTCACAGGATTGCTGTGAGATTAATGAGCCAGGTAAGCACAGTCCTGAAACAATGGTCACCCCGTTCCTGCCCTTCCAGAAGGCCCTCTTCCCAGGCAGGCCCTGTGGGACTGAGCAAAGCTGAATTCAAAGCCAGCCCTGCTATCTACCAGCTGTGTGGCCTCCCGTAGGACCTGAAACCTCATGGCCTCTGAGTTCCCCCACTTGGAAACAGGCATGAAATTACTCTCGGTACAGAATTGAAAGGATCTGATACGGTAGCATTTAAAAATTTTTTTTTAAGTTTATTTATTCTGAGAGAGAGAGGAGGAGGAGAGAGCAGGAGTCGGGGGAGGGACAGAGAGAAAGGGAGAGAGAGGATCTCAAGCGGACTCATTAATGACAGTGCATAGCCTCATGTGGGGCTTGAACTCATGAACCTGTAAGATCACAACCTGAGCCAAGATCAAAAGTCGGACACTTAACCTCACCGACTGAGCCACCCAGGTGCCCCGACAGGGTAGCATTTTAATAAAACAACTTGATGCTTAGGGGACACTCAGTAAATGTTTGCTCTCGTTCCCCTTCTGGTGACTTTTAACCTCTTTCCCAGAGACGTCAGCACAGATCACATCCATGTAGTTAGAGACTGTGTCTTTTAGAAATCTCAAATGATCACTGCGTAACTGTGATCATTACATAACATAGCAAGATGGCAAATTCATGCAGAAGCAGCAAGTTCCTAGGCTATGATTTTAAAGATGTTGATTTACTTCTTTCCAAATTTTTAAAATTTATTTATTTTGAGAGAGAGTGTGTGTGCGCACATGGGAGTGGGGGAGGGGCAGAGAGTGAGGGAGAGAGGACCCCAAGTAGGGTCAAACCCATGAACCATGAGCTCATGACCTGAGACGAAATCACGAGTTAGATGCTTAACTCACAGCCACCCAGGCACCCCTGATTTACTTTTTCTATTTAAAAAAAGATATATATCCAGGGGCGCCTGGGTGGCTTGGTCAGTTGAGCGTCCGACTTTCGGTTAGGTCATGATCTCACGGTTCGTGGGTTCGAGCCCCGTGTCGGGCTCTGTGCTGGCAACCAGCTCAGAGCCTGGAGCCTGTTTCAGAGTCTGTGACTCCCTCTCTTTCTAACCCTCCCCTGCTCACACTGTCTCTCTCTCTCTCCTAGAAATTTAAAAAAAAAAAAAAAGATATATATCCAGCTGTTCCAAAATGCTAAATTACCAAAGGTGTTTACTTATAAAATTCTTAAGCATGACTTGGGGGCTGATATTTCACACCTTGAATTGTCTGTCCACCCATCCATTCATCTTTCCTTTCCTTCCTTCTTATCTTCCTTCCTTCCCTCCTTCCTCGTTTCTTTTCTGCCATCCTTCTACCCATCCATCCATTCATGATGTCCATCCAATCATTCATCCATAGATCCATCTATCCATTCATCTGTCCATTCATCCACCCACCCACCCACCCATTCATCCCTTCAACATGTAATGGACACCGTGTGCCAAGTCCTTGTCCCGGATGCTGGCCCCACAGTGACAGATATAAGACAGACACGGCTCCTGACCTCACTAAACTTACTCCAGGTTCCTGGGAAGCAGAATGTGACCGAAAGAGCCGAGGCTGAGCATTGATCTGGGGCCTCAGCTTGGTCCCTGGGGGGTGAGGTGGTCCTCTGGGACACCAGGCGAGTTCTTCTCTGCTCTGGTAGAGGAAGCCCCTCCCTGCAGATGCCAGACTCTAGGATCCACAAGCCACCCAGCGATGGTCAGCGTGGGTGAGGGTGTGGGTGGGATTTTAACAGGAAGAGGTGACCACCCCGCGTGCATGGGTCTTGATCCATCAACTAGAATGTAAGTGTGATGCCACTTTTTTACACCCTAAATTTAAGACTGGCTTTACACCCGTTTTGAGTAGACCCTCACCCCCCTGAGTTTAGCTCTGGCTAATCTGAATGGGGTTTTGTTACAGCTGCTGTGCCCTCACCGCAGCTCCTGAGGATTACTGACACCGACTTAGAAGAAAGACAGCCTCACACAGGTGACGTGGCTTGGCCTGGGTCAGACACTCAGAGGCACGACTTGTGCCCATAGTCTTAAACTGGATTTGAAGGCAAACGTAGGGGCGGGCACTCCAGGCAGCGTAAACTGTGTGCAGGGGAGCTGGGAGAGGACCAAGGGCGTTGCCCTGCGGTCCTACGCAGGGGGGAGATCTAGGACATGAACTAGGCACGCGGATCTGATCACCGCTCCCCCCAAGCACATCGGTCCCCACGCGCTGGAGAATGTGGACACAGAGGAGACTCCACACTGGCCCGTTATGAGCGCCCCTACACTGGTGGTGGCTCCTGAGGTGACAGCTCTCATGGCAGCCTGGACCAGCGGCCTTTTCTTGCAAACAGATTACATCATCACCTCAAGAGATGCTGCGTTGTGAGCATGACAGTTTTATGGCCTGTAGATCCCTACAGCTGGAACCATCTGGACTTTTAAAAGCTTGGTAATGCCACCTCGTAAACAGGCCTCCACATGAGTCTCGCTGAGTGCTGAGATTTAGAACCAGGAGTTTGCCGTCGGGGAGGCAGCCGGCTCTGATGGGGACTCAGGCTCTTAAGGTTTTAGGCAGAGTGCTTTGCTGTGCAGCCCCAAGCAGATGTCTCCCCCTCTCTGGGTTTTGCTTTTCCTCCTTCCTGAGCCTGCTTTACTCAACGCATAGGGAGACTTGGAACTGGCAATGATACACATGTTCTTTGTTAAAACCACCCCCAGGCCCCTTCTCTCAGGGTCCCAGGGCTTTCCACCAGCCTCCCACACCCCGTTATGGGAACATTGGTTCCGAGTAGCTAGGATGTGATGTGTGCACCCAGGGTGACGGGGATGCTCACAGCAGAACTCCATCTCAGAGGCCCTAAGCGATCTGTGCAAAGGGAGCACACAGACATAGCTGCCGAAATGCTGGTGCACAACAGGGGTGTGAATGAAATATTCTTCTTAAAGGCCCGGCCTTCCCTCCATCACAGCACTGGCCTCCTGGCCTCCAGCCCAGGTTTGGAGTATCCGACCTGCAATGTCGAGACAATGAACACACTGCTTTCAGGCTGAGCTGCTGAGCTGTCTACTTTCACATTGTCACCCGGAAAGGCAGAGTCTGGAGACATTTCCAGGCGTGGCACGTCGGGGTTTGGGGAGCTTCCATCTGAGCCCCAGAGCTCAGTCGGGGGAGGAAGGCAAAGGTGAATGGTGACAGACAAGTTGATAAGATGTGGATCTGTGGCAGCGTCCCATAGAGCAAGCAGGTTAAAGAGAATGATAACAGAAAGTTATTGTCAATAATACAATTGTGGACACATGGCCACTCTCATGCATTAGTGTATAAATTGGTCCCTGTAGGGAGTTTTTGCAGTATATATTGAGAATTTAGAATGTACGTACTTTGATCCAACTATTTCACAGCTAGGGATTTATCCTAAGGCAAAAATTGGACAAGTGCAAATATTTGTATTATAGGGTCACTTATAACAGTGAAAGCTTGAAAATAACACAAATGTCTGACCAGTGAGACTGAGTAAAGTATATCTTTGCCCCACAGTGGAATATGCAGCTATTTTTTTTTTATGAGCCTGACATCCTGACATCCTTTCCTAGGCATAGAAATAATAAAACTATTTCTGTTTTTGAAATGTGGAATAAAATGATATCAGAGGGGCACCTGCGTGGCTCAGTTGGCTAAGCTTCCGACTTCAGGTCAAGATTTTGCAGTTTGTGAGTTTGAGCCCCACAATGGGCTCTCTGCCGTCAGCACAGAGCCCACTTTGGATGCTCCGTCCCCGTACCCACCACTCCTCTGCCCATTCTTTCTCTCTCTCAAAAAGAAATAAGTAAACTTAAAAAACAAAGCTCTTGGGGCGCCTGGGTGGCTCAGTCGATTGAGTATCAGACTTCAGCACAGGTCATGATCTCACAGTTTGTGGGTTCGAGCCCCGTGTCGGGCTCTGTGCTGACAGCTCAGAGCCTGGAGCCTGTTTCAGATTCTGTGTCTCCCTCTCTCTCTGACCCTCCCCTGTTCATGCTTGCTCTCTTTCTCTCAGAAATAAATAAAACATTAAAAAAACAACAAAGCTCTTTAAAAATGATGTCATTAAACTAGACCCCATTCACATGACTCTTACTTTTCTCCATCCCCACGTTTTACTCACGGAGAAGGTTCTTCTTGTTCAGTTTCCTGGACATCATCTCGCACAAAGTTCCCAGATCTTCCCAGGGGCTCCAAGCCCTGCTGGAAGTGAAGGCTTTGTTTTCTGAACTCCTCTCTCCTGTTGTGTTTCATTGTCTGCCTGGTATTAAAGTGAGCTATGCGTATGTCTTATATGCCTTCCTGAACTTGGCTAGATCCATGTCTGATACACCTTTGATGCCCAGGCGAGAGTGATTGTTGGGAAGGAGTAAACGATGCCTAGCAAATTCTCTAACATGAGAGAGGAGTTTATGTGAGACCCTGCAGCCAATTTCTATACCAAATGCATTAGTCTCACTTGATGTTCTGGCTGGTGTTGCCTTGTACTTGCCCCACGTCCTCATGAAGGTCAGCACCAGCTCCTGTTTGCTCTGATGCCTGCGATGAAGAATCTAACTGTGCTAAAAATGTATGAAACAACCAAGCTAAAGGGGGCTAAAGGGGGTGGGAAGAAAAGGTGCTGACTTAAGTAACTTTGGAAATGTGCAGAGTCTGAGAGACTAAAGGCAAAAGGATACTGGAATTGAAGAATTACGGAAATGGATGGTGCATGGTGGGGCCAGGCTTCTCTTTGTTGAAGTAGAAAATGAACAAGGGCAGGAGGCTAGATGATTCAATGGTAATAGATTAGAGCTGGGACATGAGTATGAACTCATATGTTGGGGTTTTTTTTCATTTTAGAGAGTGCAAATGTGAGCAGGGGAAAGGAGCAGAGGGAGAGAGAGAGAAAGAGAGAGAGAGAGAGACTCCTAAGCAGGCTCCATGCTCAGTATGGAGGCTGACACAGGGCTTGATCCCATGGGATCATGACCTGACCCAAACTCAAGAGTTGGACACTCAACCAATTGAGCCACCTATGTACCCCATACGTATAGTCACATACAGAATTATATACACTTGTATATATGTAGGTTAGCATGGTAACATACATTTCCTTGCTCTTCACGGAGGATGCCTAGAAGCAATGACAGTCCAGTAGCAGTAAGAACATCTAACGCCTGGATCTTGGTTTATAACACCATTCTCCCATAAAAGGATCCAGGGATTATTGGAGAAATAGCTGATTCAATGACCAGAGCAGGAAATATGCAAGGTGAGCCTGGAGTACCTTATACTGCCAAATTGTAAGAATGCGCTCCAAACTGAAAAAGAAAAAGAAATTGATTGGAGTATGTCAAGGGACCAAAGGAGCCAAATGAGAAGCTGCCAGTGGCCCAAGCTGGAACAATTTGAACACGATAAATAAAGGATTATTGGATTATAACTCAATGTATACAACAAATAGCTGTGAGTCCATACTGGTATAAATAAATGATTGAATAACTTAATAAATGGGCAGAAGATACAAATATCTCCTGCAGAAGAATTCCAAATAATTGATGTAGATACTCTTCCCTCAAGGAGGGGGAGCATAACTACTTACTCCTCAAATGTGGGCTGTGCATATTAGCTTCCCTCCAAAGTGTACAGGATAGAAAGGGGGCAAAAGATCACCTTGACAGTGGAGAAATCTGACAGACACTATCTTAGCCAGATCGATGATCAAGGCCCATAACAGGGGTCACATGTCATTTTCATGCTATGCACTCTTGATATGATGTGATGAAAATTGCATTTTACCTCTCTAGTCTTTCTCCCCAAAACCAATAACCCCAGTCAATTCATTAAGGAAAAAGAATCAGACAAGGGTTCCTGACTGACTCATTTGGAAGAACAGTTGGAAGACTCTTGATCTCATGAGTTTGAGCCCCACGTTGGGTGTAGACATTACTTAAATAAATGAATAAAAACTTAAAAATTTTTTTTGGTCCTAATAGAGACATTCTACAAAATACCTAACCAATACTCCTTAAAACTGTCAAGGTCATCAAAAATTAGGAAAGTCTGTGAAACCTAAGGAGACATGGCAACTATATGTAACGTGCCATTTTGGATGGGATTCTGAATTCAGAAAGGGAAGTTAAGTGAAAAGTAAGGAAATGTGAATAAAACATGTACTCTGGTTAATAATTATCTATCAGTATCAGCTCATCAGTTGTAACAAATGGACCATATTAAGGTAAGATGATACTAATAGGCAAAACTGAGCAGAGATATATGGGAACACTCTGTACGCTCAAGTTTTCTGTCAATGTAAAGCTTTTCTAAAAAAGTTTTCTAAAAATGTAAAGTCTATCTTTTAAAAAATTACCAATTAGGTACAGATGAAGAATGATATCTTGGGTTTTCTTTGGTCAACTTTCTTTGCTTATGGTTTCAGAGAAGCCTTTTCATGTATGTGTTAGCTACTTGATTGCCGACTGTCATGTGCCCCTGGGGTTATAGGGTTATTTGTTATGTGACATTACTGTAGTCATAGCTAACTGATACAATCTTACTGAACTACTACAGCCCTATAATGTATTGCCCACTTTCCATTATCCAAATATCCATTAAACAGATGAAGAAATGGAGACTCAGAGAGACTAAGTAACTTCCCCAAATTCAGACTCAGTAAGTGTCATACCTGAGCTTTGAACCTGCGACAGTCTGACTCCAGAATTTTCTAACCACCACCCTATACTTTGACGTACCACGTGTGCTGATGGCAAGGGGAGGGAAGGGAATCCTGACAGCTAGCTGGGTGTCCGGTGACAACTTCTGAATTCTGTGCTTTCATGTGAGGATGATAGTACTCCAAAGAGGGGCACCATGCAGCTAAACTAGAAATTATATAGGAAATCCATGGGGCGCCTGGCTGGCTCAGGCAGTGAAGCATGCGACTCTTAATCTCAGGGTTGTGGGTTTGAGCCCTACATTGGTGGTAGAGATTACTTAAAAATAACATCATAAGGGGCGCCTGGGTGGCTCAGTCGGTTGAGCATCTGACTTAGGCTCGGGTCATGATCTCACAGTTTGTGGGTTCGAGCCCTGCATCGGGCTCTGTGCTGACAGCTAAGAGCCCGGAGATTGTGTGTCTCCCTCTCTCTCAGTCCCTCCCCTGCTCATGCTCATGCTCATGCTCTGTCTGTCTCTCTCTCTCCTTCAAAAATAAATAAACATTAAAAAAAAACATCTTAAAAAAAAACAACAACAAGGAAATCCTTGAGTGGCTGCCATGAGAAATGGCTCATGAGGGCACCAAACTGCCTGTCCCAAGCAGAGGGACTAGAGTAGGTCACTCCAGACTCTGCTGAGAACAGCAAAATGGGCTCTCTGGAGTTGTGCCTGGAAGAAATGTGATTGTTAGGTGCTAGCAAGCAGCACAATCCCGTGTCATATATTATCATAATTTAACGTCAAGGCTCTGAATACTGGAG